CCTGTGGGCACCATGGGCCCCCTGCTCCGCCGCCTGCTGTTTGCGGCGCTCCTGCAGCTGGCCCCCGCCCAGGTATGTGGGGCCCGCCTGCCCGCCCGCCCGCCGTGCCCTCTCTCAAGGTTGGCGGAAGTGGGGAGGCGCGAAGCGGCCTCGGCCGAAGGTATTCGCGGGGACCGCCGATGGGGGCATCACGGGCTGGGGCATCCTCCAGGGAGTTGTCCCTCCCCACTGGCCTACGGTCCCAGCCCTGGGGCCACTCCCCTGCCCCACCCCATCCCTTGGGCGCAGCCAGGGGCGGAGCCTCCTCAGTGCCTGCAGGACCTGGTTGCGGGCCCACTGTGACCCCTTCTGACCTGCGGCCTCCAGAACAAACCTGGTCCCCAGGCTTGGAGATTGGACTCCTCTGGCAGAGCGCGCCTGATGGGTCGAGGCCGGGGGCAGGTCCCAGGTGGCCAGGAGAGGACAGGTAAAGCTAGAGTGGACCCAGGAACAGAGCAACCTGGAAAATGTCAGGAAGGAGTTGAAGCCTCCTGACTGCAAGAGCAGAGCCCTGGGGACACTGTGGCCCTAACTAGAATGCAACTTGGGTCCAGGTCTCTTCTCTCCTACAGGCCTCCATCTCCCAGCCTGATGCCCCTGGCCACCAGAAGAAAGGTAATAGTAACAACAATAACTTCACACTAGCCATCATCTTGTGTAATCACAACTGCTCTGTAAGATGCAGACTCTTATTTTGTCCATTTCACAGAAGCGGAAATTGAGGAAGTGGGGTTCCTGGGTTCTGGATGAACAGGTTGGGAGGGCAGAAGTGGAGGCTAGTGGAAAGTGGCTGTGACATGGGAACTAGGGAAAACAGCTGCTGGGTGCAGGAGTAGGGAAGCCAGGGAGCAGCTGCAGGAAACCCAGTGGGGACTTAACCCTGATGCATCTGTCCCCAGTGGTGTCATGGATAGATGTGTATGCTCGTGCCACCTGCCAGCCACGGGAGGTGGTTGTGCCCCTAACTCTGGAGCTCATGGGCACTGTGGCCAAACAACTAGTACCCAGCTGTGTGACTGTGCAGCGCTGTGGTGGCTGCTGCCCTGACGATGGCCTGGAGTGTGTGCCTACTGGGCAGCACCAAGTCCGAATGCAGGTATTGGGGCACGTGGAGTGTGTGTGGCTGGGGGTGGATGCTGGTGCTCTGTGGGCTGACGGGGTGGCATCCAGAGCCCTGGCAGGTGGGCAGGCTGTTCTCCCTCCAGCCCATCGAGTGTCCTCTTCTCTTCCTCTCTCTGTCATTGTCTCTCTCTCTCTCCCTGTTCTCCCAAACACAGATCCTCATGATCCGGTATCCAAGCAGTCAGCTGGGGGAAATGTCCCTGGAAGAACACAGCCAGTGTGAATGCAGGTGCCAGCCAGGCCCCACTTCTGAGCTTGCAGAGACCAGGATTGGGGGGTGCTGGGCATGGTGGTGCACCACAATGGGGACCAGGTTTCCAAGAGTGGAGCTGGGGTAGGCCTGGGATCGGGGCAAGAGAGTAGGGGCTTGGCTTTCCTGATCGCCCTCCTCCTCGTGTCTGTTGGTCTCTCTTTCAGACCAAAAAAAAAAGAGAGTGCTGTGAAGCCAGACAGGTGAGTCTCTTGGGCTCCTGTTGAGGTGGGTTTGGAACCCAGGCCCAGTGCCCAGGATGTAATGTGTGTGTGAGATGGGGGCTGTATAAGTGTGTCAGGAAACTGTGTTCCCCTCTCTTCTTTTTCCTCCCACTTGTGTGCCACACTCCCCTTTTCCTCTGCTCCCCAGTCTGTGTGCTCTGACCCAACCCCAGCTCCCTCCAGGGAAGACTCTTCCTTCCAGCCCCAAACGTGTTCCTTCTCCTCCTAGGGCTGACACTCCCCACCACCATCCCCAGCCCCGCTCTGTTCCTGGCTGGGACTCTGCCCCCGGAGCACCCTCCCAAGCTGACATCACCCATCCCACTCCAGCCCCAGGCCCCTCTGCCCATGCTGTACCCAGCGCCACCAGCGCCCTCACCCCAGGACCTGCCGCTGCCACTGCAGACGCCGTGGCTTCCTCCGTTGCCAAGGGCGGGGCTTAGAGCTCAACCCAGACACCTGCAGGTGAGGAATTATGGGGTGGCAGTTGTTTGGGAAGGCATCAAGACCCTGTCCTGGAGCAGGTCCAGGGTGAGCCTGCCAGTGGGATAAGAGCCAGGGAAGAGGAAGCTGTTGAATGTGTTGAACAAATATTTACCAGGCGTCTGCTGGCGCTGGGATCAGCATAAACAAGGCTCACATTCCAGTGCAGGAGTCTGACACAGGAACACATGATGCCAGGAAACGCTCTCAAGGCCTGTGGTAGGGGGCACTTTGCATCATCTTTGAGAGGTCAGAGATATCCGGGAGGCGGTGACATCTGCCTGAAGTAGAAATGAGAGAGACAGCTTTCCAGTTTGCAAACATCTGAACCTTCCCAGAAGCCCCTGTGGTAGACAATTGTTCCACCTTATTGGCCCTGAGAGGCAAGGGGACATAGTGTAACTTGTTCACTCTTGTCTTAGGGCTTCTCACCACCCATCCCTTCCACAGTGAGGCCATGAGTGGCATCATGTGGGCTAGGCCAGTTGGGACTCCTTAGGAATGTTAGGAAAGAATGTTAGGTTCACAGAAGGTAACAAGGGGGCGAGTCCAAAGGAGCAGATGCTGAGCTGTGAACAGAACCCCCTTCCTCTCCTCCTTAGGTGCCGGAAGCTGCGAAAGTGACACATTGCTTTTCAGACTCAGCGGGACCCCTTGCCTCATAGGCCACACCCCAGAGGGGGACTAAAGGGCAGCCTAGTGAGAACAGTCCAGTCCCCCAAGACCTCAGCCCAGGTGAAAGCTGCTCCAGGACCTACCTGGGCCTCTCAGAGGGATTTCTGGTCATCTCTTATCTCTGCAAGGCTGTTATCCAACATGGTGGGCAGAATTGGATGAGACTTGGGAGGCAGCAAGAGGGGCCATGTACCTGTGCAAGTGAGCATCTTACAACTGGTCTCTTCCTGCCCTTACTAAGAAGACCCTGATCCTCTGCAAATAATGGGAGTTGGGCTTTGGTATGAGAACTGTGACCCTAGATCCTGATAAAAGAGATGGAAGGAGCTGTCCCTGCCTTTGTCACTGTTGTCACTGCCCAGGCTGGCTGGTTCAAGCATCAATGTCTGTGTCACACTGCCTCCTAGATCTAGAGCTTCTTACTCTGTTCACTGTGCAGATGGAGTAAATGAGGCCCAAGGTCCCACAGTCAGAGCCCAAATCATGTATTCTTCACATTCATGTTACTGCCAGGAGCCCCTTAGAGCCAGTGAGCTTGAGGTGGGAACCAGATCTGGGTGTCACTGCCCCTCTCTGTCTAAGCATCAGCTTTCCACATGTGCATATGGAAGACAGATGATCACTGGTACGGGCCCTTGGGCTCCAGGAAAGTTTGAGTATGTTTTGACATAACAGAAATGAACACCCATCTTCCCGGCTGGGCAGCACTGTGTTTACTGCTTTTTGCTCCCTGCAGCTTAACTCTAAAGCCACGCACCTGCCTTGTCTCCACCTCACTCCCACCTCCCTGAATGGGAAGCACCAAAGGTCTATGGCTGGTGGGCTCAGTTTGAGAGGCCCCCCTCGCCCCAACCTCACAGTCTTCTCTACTTTCACTTCCTTTTCACCTTGGGTGCCCCTCACCAGCCCGTTTAGGACTCTCCTGACCCTTATCTGCCCCAGTCCAAGCTCAGTGCCCAGCCTTCTGCCTGCAGACTCAGGAGCTGCCTGGAGCTGTGTGGGTGGTCCAAAGGCCAACTTGGGGTACAAATGGTTTGCCCTTTGAGGCAGGACATTCAGGGACAGCAGTTAATCCAGAGCAGCCACCCTCATGGTGTTAGACTTGAGGGTGTGATAGTGATCATGTTGGGCCCAAGTCAAAAGCGGGGTTAAACCAGAAGAGAGAATTCCTGAGAGTGATTAATATTTTCATACCGTGATAGCCATGCTGTCAGTGAAAATGCTGTAGCCCAATTAGGGACAGATGAGGGTTAGGGACCTAGAGCTACCTTCTCCTGAGTCCACGTAGCCTCACTGAACAAGCACAATGCTTCATATGCACCTCCTTGTTTAGTCTGCAATTCTGAGGTCAGCTCTGTGACTATTTTTTTCACTTGATGAAATAGGCTGATTGACCTGAGGATTTGACCTCAAATCAGTTCTCTCCCTAACACTCAGCTTAGGTTTAATTGCCAAACAGCAGGCTCATTACTTCAACTGAGATGTTTGCTGGGTACTGGGCGCCTGGAAACAACAATCTGGTTGGGGACCGGGCCCAGCCATGCCATTAGTCTGACTCAGTGGTCAGCGCGTGACATATAGAAGCAAACCTGGATCTGGGAGAGAAAAGGGAAAACATTTGCTGAGGACCAGCGCCTGGCAATGTATACCATTGCGGCAATCCTACAGGGGCCCTGCAGGGTGGGTGTTATCAAGTCCACCGTTACAGGGACGCCAAACTCTGCTAGGCTAAGCAACTTTGCTCAAGGTCACAGAGCCAGTCAATGAGAGGCAAACTCTGAATTCAAACCCGGCCCACTCTGAAGCCCAGGCTCTCCACACCCATCAACTGGGAGCGGTGGATCCTGAGGAGATCCACCAGGGGCGTCGTGGGCGAGGCTGGGGGCGGCATAAAATGGCGTCTCAAGACCCCCTCGGGGAATTGCGGCCGCCTGACCTTAATTTCACTTCAACCGGAAGTGCCTGGGGCCCTTTCGGAAGTCACTTTCACCTAACCCCCTGGACTGCTGCTCTACCGGAAACGACGACAGTCACGTGGTGCTTAAGGGATGGGGCCAAGGAAGAAGCCCGCCCAGCGGGCGTGTGGCAGCGGGTTTCGCACGGCCCAATGAGGGCGGGCGGCGTGGCCCGGGCTGGTAGCGGCAATGACGCGCCTGCGCAGAGGCGGCGGCACGACTGGAGTTGATTCCGGGGGCGCGGCGAGGAGGTGAGCGGGGGCCACAGCCCGGGCTGGGGGGAGCCGGGGTGTAAGGGTAAGGGGGCAGGCTGGATCAGGCCGGGGCTCCGAGTGTCAAGGAGGGGTAGGCTACGAGGAAACTGGAGGTTGGTGTAGGAGCTGTCTGGGATGCCGCAGGGGGAGGGTTCTCACGCCGCACGGGGCGGAGCCCCGGGACTCAGGGCGGGACGTGGTACAGAGACCGGTGAGACCTCTGAGCTGGTACCTGCGGAAGGCGGGACTCTGGGTCTGGGGGCGGGG